AAAAAAAAAAAAAAGAAACTGAACATGGTAACCGGGAATGATCTGATCCACATAGGTTGGGATTATCATGTTGCTTCATCTGATCCTTGTTTTTTCTCTGGAGACACATCCAAGATTGCAGTAGCTCTGATGGTAGACCCATCAAATTGTTAAGCACAGAAGCCTGAACTGACATCTTTCCACATGAACCTGTGTCAAGTCACATCTAACAGTAGAACCATGCTTTTTTTCCATTGTTAAATTTCATGTATTATTTTCAAAGCATTATTTCAACCTGCCCACATTTCTGCTAATTCATGTTTACTTTCTTCTATATTATATTCTGTTGGTTGATAGAGAAATATCCCAGGCTATCATTATCATTCCCCACTGACCTGGCAGAAAGAATTTCTGTGAGTTGAATTTTCTTGCTGAACCTGCTGATGTCTACAATTCACGTTATTATTTCATGGAATGTGAGATGCCTTTTCTTTGGATGATCCAAATTCACCCTGTGGAGCTGAATTTCTTATTTTTCTCTTATATATATATTTCAGTTGTACTCTTGCCAACATTCCAACATCGACTTTGGTCCACCCTTTTTCTCCAAAGAATTTGGCTTGCTTCTTAAAATATGTCTTCCATCTTGTCTAAAAATGCTTTGTCTTCCCAATAGCCATAGCTAGTAAGACAGTCTTCAAACCTGCCCACTTTCTCTTTTAACAGGCAGAACAGGTTCACATAATCGACTATTATAATCTCCGAAAAGAAAACAAAGAAAATGCCTGTAGGTCCTTGGGGCGGTTAGTCTTTCCTAGCTAACTTGGAACATGCATAGACTGCCAGTTGGCTGAGTCTCTTCACTTCTGGGGTCTTGGTTCCATGGGGGTTCCCGGAGTATCTAGGTATTATTCCTTTGCACTATAGTCAAATCTAGAACCCTTTATTAAACATAGAAGTACAAAGACACGAATTCTTGACAATAAAATTCTAAAACAGTTTGATAATCTATTCCCACATTTTTTGCTAAGCCTGTTCATACACCATAAAGTTATTTTTTAAATATTCCAGTCTTATCTTTACATTTAATATCCCCAAATTCTTTCCCTTTCTTTCATAAATATGTTATTTTCCAATCGTTTCGTTATTTCTGCTACTGTCCTTGGTGCCAGCTTCTTACTGAGAGTTGAGCATATGAAATATGGGGAGGGAAGGGGGAACAGTGTATGATTAGCCGCTTGCACCTTAGCAGAGTGATTCTTAAAGTGGTCCCCAAACCAGCAGCGTCAGCAGCACCTGGGAACTTGTTAGAAATGCAGATTAGCAGACCCCTCCCCAGAACTACTGAATCAGACACCCTGTGGGTGCAAAATGCTGATTTTGTTTTAGTAAGCTGTGGAATTGATTCTGATGCACACTAACATTTCAGAATCACTGCCTTAGGATAATCAGCCAAGGGTAAACTTGACCAAACTTTAGAGATAGTGCATAATTACAGATAATAAGCATTTTTATCCGAAGAAGTAATTCTGGCAAATTTTAATGAACATGATATATTCTTCAGATAGCTTCTATTTTCTCCTTTAATTTGGAGGAGAAATCCTAAAGAAAGTAGAGAGGGGAGGGGAGAGAAGGGGAAAATAGTTGGGCTTTCCAACCATTAAGTTAAAGATTGCTGTTAGGCAAAAAGTGTGGGGAAAAACACACAGAAATCTTCCTATCATGTTATTCACCAATAATAGTTTGAGCAAATAATATTCTTATGCAGGAGCAAGAATACTTCCAGAAAACTCGCTTGGGAAATCGCAGGCACAGGCCGTTCTTCAGTGTTGATCTGTGTGGCTATGGGGTTGTTACTCAGGGGGAAACATGTTTTCTGAATGCTTTACAAAAAGCAAAAAGGCTTTAAAATAAATAAATAGACTCTAGCAGAGGTGATTACTTCGATTTTGTGTATCAGCGAGTCTGGAAGTCAGTAAACTTTTTCTGTGAACAGCCTGATAGTCAATAGCTGGGGCTTTGCGGTTCATAGAGTCTCTGTCACAGTTGTGTCTCAGTCTGCAATTTCTTAATTCAGCCGTTGTAGACAGAAAGCAGCCGTAGACAATACGTAAATAGATGGGCACGACTGTGTGTCAATACAACCTTATTTATATAAACAGGAAGTGGAGTCGATTAGCCCAAGGGCTGTAGTTTGCCTGCCCTTGACTAGACCATAGTCATATGATTTTTAACATAGACACATGTACAGTTTAGCTGAATAGGTAGAAAAGAGCCACTGAAGGTAATTAAGGATTCATGAAAATTGGTACCTGCGAAAACATTTCCCCGGGCCACTGCTAAACTTAACCCTGATCCAAACCATCCCTAGTCTGTTTGCACTATAAAGGCTGCTTTATTTTTTTTTACCTACAGTCTTGCATTCCTCTACTCAGATACTATAATCTACTATTTCTGAGTTTCTGTTCCTCAATTCATGCCCCTGGGACAGCAGTTTGTCCTAGGTCCCCTCCATGAATTTTTTTTTTTTGAAGATTTTATTTATTTATTTGACAGAGAGACACAGCGAGAGAGGGAACACAAGCAGGAGAAGTGGGAGAGGGAGAAGCAGGCCCCCCGCCGAGCAGGGAGCCCGATGCGGGACTCGATCCCAGGACCCTGGGATCATGACCTGAGCCGCAGGCAGACGCTTAACGACTGAGCCACCCAGGCACCCCCCTCCATGAATTTACATGAATTTTCTGTGCCACATCCTACCATGATATTCTTAGAAATTTAACTCCTACTTAAAATGAAAATCATTTACTTGTTAACTGTATGCAATTAGATGAATTCCAGAAAACAGTCTGCTGGGAGTCAGTTTGGTGGGTGTGCACAGATACTCTGTTCTGTCATTGTTCTCTCCTCTCTATTCTTCAACCCCTATTCTGATGATCTTCTGGCCACTGAGAAAATGAAACCCTTTTCACTGGTTCCTTAGTTAAGCCCCAAACTACATTTGGTGACTATTCCTGACTGTGTCCCAGAAATTTCTAGAACAAAACTACAGTTTGCCCAGACAGGTTTTTAAACTGCTATTTCTTTAAAATTTTATGACATTGCAAGGACACCATTTCTCTACAATTACCCAAGTCTTCAGTCCATCCTCCCTCCTCGCATCCCGAATCCTAAACGTCTCCACTCCACCTGGTGTCATGACTCTGGTATTCATCTCTGTCTGTGTCTAACCCTGCTAGTTTCCTCAAGTAAACATAAATATTAACATATCCTAAAGCCGAATATAATCGATTACACCAATCCATCTAGACTGTGATTTTCTCCGCATTCACTCACAATTGGAATGGAGAACATATTTTTTTTTTTTTTTTAACTTCAGTAAATCCTAAGCATGCTAAGAGAATAGACAAGGAGACAGAGATACCTCTTCTCGGAAACACATTTCACTCGTCTCTGCTTGGCGGCACTTCTCCACCAGGTGGGCGAAATCTGCAATCATTGATTGGAACTGCATCTCTGTTGCATATGGTTTCTGCTTCACAAGGTTGCTGAGGAGCCTGAATCAGAAAGGAGTGGCAAAAATACAAGTACACCCTGAGTTCTAGAAGATCAGCTTGCACACCTGCCTTACTGATTTAAAGCTAGACACCACCCACTCCTCTTCGTCGCCCCCACTCTGATGCTTAGAAGCCCTGAAAATGCCGTGCTGTGTTCACAGATTTCACACTGCCCATCTCCATCTTCGTGTTTTACCCAACATACTTTCCTTCCAGGACACCTCTTTTACATAATTCATACATTAAATTTAATTATTTTTATATAATTATTACTAGGGTAAAGATTTTTGTTTTCTATTTTCATTGCATTGGATGGTAAATAGATGATATAGTAAATTAAATCGTTTTTCCTAGAATATTTTGTTATGAACATTTATTCTGAACCACTAACTTCCAAATAAATATTACAAGTGTAACACACCTGAAGTTGAGGGTCTTTCATATGTAATTAATGATAAGCCAATAAACAATTTCAAACTATAATGGTTTGATAATCATCTCCAATTTTCTTCACCAAAGAGTTTCCCCCGCAACTGTAGTTTCAACCACTTTGAATATTCAAGTGTAACCTGGTTTCTGTCTCTCTAGTTAATAAAATAGTATTTCAAATCTTCCAGTGTTACCTTTTCCCTCTCTCTCTCTCTCTCTCTTTTTTTTTTTTTTACTGTTTTAGACCAAGACAGATTTAACCACAGAGAAAATATGGCATGAGGGGTAGGAAAAATGCACTTTAATCAGTATTTTTACTGTTTAACCAAAAACCCTTGCTTATTCTTCGTTTTCAAATTCAAATTGATAATACCCCGTGGCCTTATTTGTGCCTTGAATGGGTATAAAAGAAAATATCTCAAAGCTCTAAGTAGCTATTTCTCTGATAATTTAAGCCAGGGGTCCAGTAAACAATTGCAGATAGTAATTATTTTAGGCTTAGAAGTATAATGTTATAAATATATCATATCACAAGACAGAAAACTCCAAAGCCCCAGTTGCCTGGGGTGGGCTGCTCACTTGGCAGGGGGCCGGCACAGTCTGTGTCCCGCTGTCATCAGTGAGGGAAGACGGAGGGGAGGGACCAGCCGGTGAGGGGGGAGGTGCCCGCTGTGGTCAGTTTCACCCTCTGCCCCACACACGCCCTCCTCTTCTCCCAGCTGTCTCAATGTGGGCCGCTGACCCAAGCGACTCGCTGAGCCATTTGACTCCTGGACTAAGAGGCCGCCACCTTTCGCCGCCCAGCAGTGACCAACAGCAACGTCCCCAGCATACAGGTGGCCCTAGCTCAGGCACTGTGCAGCAGTGAGCATGGTCACCCGCAGGGAAGGCAGGCGCCGGGAGCAAAGTGGAGGACATGGCTAAAGCAAACTTGGCCCTCTGCAGCTCTCATGACCAGCGCAGTCGAGCGGTGCCCTCGGGACCTACAAAAACAGCCGCACCCAGAGCCCATAGCATGCCGATCCCATTAAACAACAGAACAAGACATCCAGCTTAACATGGTAGCCCGCTGGACACGCCTCTTTGAACTTGCCATTTCGACTCCACCCTCTCCCACCGCCCCCAACCCTCACACCCCCACCCTGCCTTGAGGATAGACAAGCTAAAACAACAGCAGGACTAAAAATATTAGGAAAGCACAAGCTAATGATTTTTTTTTTTTTTAAGATTTTATTTATTTATTTGTCAGAGAGAGAGCACAAACAGGGGGAGCGGCAGGCAGAGGGAGAAGCAGGTTTCCTGCCAGGAGCCTGCCAAGCAAGGAGCCCAATGTGGGACTTGATCCCAGGACACTGGGATCATGACCTGATCCGAAGGCAGATGCTTAACCAAATGAACCACCCAGGCACCCCGATAATGATTTCTTTTCAGCAACTACCTCAAAAGGAGGCTGGTTTGAGGAACACATAATCGTTGCCCCTCAGCTGGCAGACAGAGCTGAAAGAAGCTAAGAGATTTTAACTACTCCCACGTTTGCCTCTAATTCTAAGTCCTAGGAATCTAGGGGGGAAATCAGATATGGGAGCAAAGACTTAATGTACAAAAATGCTCATTGTCACAATGTATACTGGTTAGAAATTGAAAACAATTTTCATGGCCAGCAATAAGGAATGGTTAAATTCATTATAGTACCCAGATGGTGGAATAGTACCGTGCCATTAAAATGCGGTTTTGAAGATTAATTAGTGACCAAAATGCATACATTATAATTTTTTAAAACTATATCAAAAATAGTGGCAACAGCCAACATATTTACTATGATCCAGGCAATGTGCTGAGAATTTATATTATCCCATGTAATACTGTCAGTTATCTCTTTTTTTTTTTTCAGGATTTTATTTATTTATTTGACAGAGACAGAGGTAGGGAGAGCAGGAACACAAGCAGCAGGAGTGGGAGAGGCAGGCTTCCCCCCGAGGAGGGAGCCCGATGCGGGGCTCGATCCCAGGACCCTGGGATCATGACCTGAGCCGAAGGCAGATGCTTAACGACTGAGCCACCCGGGTGCCCCACTTACCTTTTTAATAAGGCTCTATGTCATCTCCATTTTGCATTTGTAACCGTGATTTCAGACCCCCTGGGAATATTACAGTTTTGGGCATATACAGCAAACCAGTGAGGTCAGCCTCCCTCCCAGAAGGCAGGAGGATTGGGAACCACTTGGGAGAACTCCTCCTGAGACCGGAAGTCAGCCTCACAGACTGCCACCCAGGAAGAAAGGCTTGGTCAGTGGAAGACGGGAATGATTTCGTGGTTCCCCAGCTGAGCCTTCATTCGACTCATTTCTGAGTTACATGGGATCAGGATTCCTATTCGAAAAAGTGCTGTAAGAGAACTTTCACCGAAGTCCTGCCGACCCTGGATACACAGCACTGCCCTGGGGCCCGCGGCAAGTGGGTAATAATCCTGGGGGTCAGGGGAAAGGGGCGATTTTCTTTTCACGACAAAACAGAACACAGCTTTGTCATTTCAAGGGACCCCATCTGCAGCTGAGCAGGAGACAGCAGTACCTGGAGGGCAGGACGGTCCCCAGGGGCCCAGGAGTGGTGCCAGGGAGAGCAGGCTTGGAGAATTCCTGAGGGTCAAGGGAGTTTCCTCAGCTCTCCCCTAAGCACGGACTCTAGGGATAATTGCTTGGAACCGAAATTTTGTATAAGCAGCTAGTCGCAAGATTGTGCAAAACTCATTAAATATTAGAACCATAGACTGATGGACAAAGGGCAATTGTGGGAGCGTGCGCTTGTATGCATATGTGACATTATATATTCTTATACTACACATATGTTTATGATGGGCACTTCTGCAGTGTTGGAATAAAGGTGTTAATGATTTTCTTCTCTCTGTATTTTCTAAATTTTCTGCAATGATTATGCATTACTTTAATAGCAACAGAAATCAATATTTTAAAAAGAAATAGAATAGTATAAACATTATTTTTTTCTCTCCAACTCTTCTGTACATAGTTAATCTTCTAATTAGACCTAAACTTGATCTCACTTGAAAGAAAACGCCGTACTTGTTTTTAAGTATCTCTGTATAATTCAAGTCTGTATGGTTACATATATCATCAAACTAGTTTCCACTACCTTTGAATAATCATTATCAGTGTTTAAGAAACTAATTAGTAAAAGTGAGAAATACAGGCTATTTTCCATTGGCGTTTGGTGCAATTTGTCTTAGAATGTATTTTCCTACAAAATGATGTGGAGATTCACTGACCAATCCTTGAAAGCATAGGCTTGCTGAAGGCCCAGGTAATAGAAACTACCTGTCACGGGAGCCTACACTGTGGAAATACCCCATCTCCAAACTTGCAACCGGGGCTTCTATGATCTGGCTTAGGGGGTTCAGCACCCAAAGGGCAGGAGCTAGTATAGGAAGGAGACAGAGTTTACTACTAGTTCATGCAAAATCTGGACTTCTCTTTCCTTCTTTTGTCATAAAAAGGGCACAAACTTTGAAGTCAAACTTACTTCGGTTCGACTAAGTAGTGTGATGGTGAGTGAAGTACTTAACCTCTCTGACCTTTTTATCTATAAAAAGAAAATGTGAACACCTACATTCCAAGGCATTTGCAAGGACCCAAAGTAACGTATTAAAGGGCTGAGTACAGTAACTGGCATAGTCCAGGCAATAAATAATGGCAAAGGTAATAGTAATGATGAATAATTATAATAATAACAGCACATCTTGCTTCCATTTCAAATTATCGGTTGTTTCCAACCATGGTCTCCTTCTTCCTTGATTCTCACAATAAATGGTACATATTCACAGCTCTTCTCCTATGTATTCATTTATTCATTCAGCAAATGATTGATGAGCATCTTTACAATTTCCCTGAGGATCTGAGCTGTAGATTCAACAGTAACAGAGAAACCTAATGGGAGAGGCAGGAAAGCTCCCTTGTCTATACCCTCTTCTTCTCTCACTTACAAGCTGTGGGATCCAAGTGCCTTCATGGCTTGGCCCCTCCCAAGTCACACTGAACCACTCCACTATGCTTTCCTCTTTCCCCTGCTGGGTGGGCTGATTTCCAGATACACTTCCCCAGAGGAACCAGTAGGAGGAAGACAAGCAAGACTGCTGGGTTTCCAGAACATCAGCCAACAGCTGCTTATTTAAACCAGGAGAAACATCCAAATTGTACTGGAATAGGCAAGGGGGAAAAAGTCTCCCATTATGAGAAGATAGAAGGTCTGGGAATGAAATTCAGAGCAGAGATATCAGGAGGTCGTGTTATCCCTCCTTGGAACTCCAGACATAAAGGCGTCATTTCTACAACTGGGGACTCTGTGACACTTAGAAGCTTGACTCCCTCCCCACAAAAACTGTCAAACACTTGTAATCTGCTTGCAGTTGAATTACCTCTCCTGCCCACTTCCTCCCTCTCCCACCCTGATCTCCCTGCCTACCAACCTGACCACTGTTATTTAAAAATAGTTCCCTTAATTCTATTTTTTAGCTTAAAATTTTTAATTTACTTTTTTACATCTTAAATCCTATTTCTAATTCAGTACCATCAACTTGTTTTCAGTTTTTCATTTTCATTAAATTTACCCACCATTTCATTTAAAGCACATTCTAGTCTTTATATACTTTCTTAAATCTTCGCATTTCAACTCAATATTTTTTTAACTGGACTTTAAATTTTTTTTACTTTGAACTTCTATTTCCCTTTGACTATCTCTATCTTATTACATGATCTCAATTTCTACCTTCTCTTCTACCTTGCTCAATTATTCTTTCCCCTCCCGAAGCCCCTTCACCGGTTTTTTTGTTTTCTTGTTTTTGCGTTTATGCTGTGATGGTCAGCCCAAATTATAAATGTAAGAAAGCCATAGAGAGCCCTTGCCACTATCCCAGAAAGTAAGAGGTTTTTTGTTTTTTTTCCAATTTGACCCTTGACTCTTAACATGGATTCTCACAGAATATTCCAGAAATCTCTACGTTAACTGTTTCCATGCTACTGTTTTCTCCATACAGAGAACGCAGTGAATTCACTAGAACAAGGATGATTCCTAATATTTCATACTTTTTATTATCTAGCCCTTATCTAAGAGCTCAGTGTTTTATTTTATTTTATTTTATTTACTTACTTTATTTTATTTTAAGAGGGAGAGAGAGAAAGCGCAGGTGTGAGTAGGAGGGGAGGGGCAGAGGAAGAGTTAGAGAGAGGATCTTAAGCAGGCTCCATGCACTCAAAACCCTGAAATCTCGACCTGAGCTGAAATCAGGAGTTAGACACTTAACCAACTGAGCCACCCAGGCACCCCAAGAGTTCAGTGTTTTAAAATTATAACCAGTATTATAATTCCTTGATTAGGGCACACTAAAAGCTATATGTTGGTAGTTAAAGCATATGTGCTTTGAGCCAGATAGCTTGGGTGAATTTTCCAGCTCAACGACCTATTTACCTGTTGCATGATCTCATACCAAGTCTTCTTGCCTTCTGAGCCTCAATTACCTTATAATTAAAATGGCATATAATATTATCTACCTTATAAATTTATGGTAAGGATTTGGTGAGATGCCATACATAAAGCGGTGCCTATCTATGCCCAGAGAACTTCCTCAAGAGAAGGCAAATGTGCACACTAGAAGAGACCTCATTCTCCTACATTCCCACATCCAGCCTGAGCGAACAAAAGAATGGCTGACTAAATGTTAACAATGGTCTTCAGGGGTTTCCTGGGAAGTGTTAAAGTCTAGTTTAGGACTGGCTCACCTTGACAACTGCAGAAAGGATTCCAAGGGTCAGCTGGCTTAAGAATTGCAAGTGCTGTGATAAAACAGAGCAAGCAACAGCCTGTGCTTGCTGCCCGGGAGTATGTGTCATTCTGGAAGCAACAAAAACTTTGCCTCACTTGGCAAGATATATTGTTGGACTCGGAATATTTAGACCCTGCAAGTGCATGTCTTAGAGTAAATAAATGAATTACAGTAAATAAATGAAATACAGGAAGCTACCACTTCTAATGATCTTGGGGGAGAAGGAATAATGAGGACTAGGGCTCACTTGCTTTCTCCTGAGGACAGGAGCAGGGGCACTAGAAGGGAACTGCCCCACTGTTGGGGGGTTGGAGTGCTATCAATGCATGCTGCTGATTCAGGGAAACCAGAATTTCACCCTTTGGCTTTTCCTAGAATGGTCACCTTTGGTCATCTCCAAATGGGGCCTCTAACAGCACACTCACCAGAAGCCGAATTCATTCTAGGGGAAAATGCCTGGACCATGGGAGTATCTTGCCTCCAGGCTCAGGAGTGGAATGGGAGTGAAGAGATGGATGATTGATGCTGCTAAGAAAGGAAATTCTTTGTCTACAGCAGCAAACAAGAAGTCTCTTTTCTAAGAGCTGACAATAACTGTTCCATTCAATCCATCTATGCAGGAGTGGGGAGAATTGGGGAAAATGCCAACCACCTGTGAGATCTTAATCACCTTATGCTCTCAGTGGCAAAGGGCAAATCGGCTGCTCTAAAGTTATGTGTGCTGATGCACTACTTCCAAAGCCAAGCCGGTGACACCTCAGTCACCTCAGCCTCAGTCACACTCAGAAATCTGAGTCTCCCAGGTCACTTGTCACCATGCTGAGGTTTCTACACCCCTAATCTGACCCATCTCCTGCTCTCCTGGTCCTCTGTCTCCTTTGTCACTTGAGGCTTTCTCAAGAAAACGTCCCTCTATCCACAGCTTCTCTTCTGAACTTCTCTGTCTTGCTCTATAAGAAAACATGAGGCTCCCCAGAGGATACAGCTTCCCCCAGGACCTTTCAAGGGGAGGCTGTTTTGCTTGAACTCCTACCTTAGTATCTAGGTCTCTTTTACTTCCAGGATATCTCTTCTTCATCCTCTTTGAAAAGCCATAGCTCCTTTGAAGTTCACATTATCAAATTCTAACATCCCTCATCGACACTTATTCCTGCCCCATATAGAAAGTCTGGTCATTTTCCCTCATTTCTGATGACTTCAGACCCAGTGTATCACCTCTCTTTCCACTATTATCTTGACATTTATCATTTTCTGTAGTTTCAACAACTGTATTAATGATCCACAAGCAGCAGATTGATTACAAAAATGGACCAATTATCCATCTTTATCTGTATCCATGTCCTTTACAATGTGATGTTCCAACTCTTTCTATCAAGAAATGAAGTCTATTTCCATACCCTACTTTAATCTGGGCTGGCCCTATGACCTACCTTACAGCATCGGTGGCATTGCATGGTTCCAAACCTGGGCCTCGCGAGACCTCCACACATCCACCTTCTCCCAGCTACCATGTGAAGAAGCCTAGGTTAATCTGCCAGAGGACAGAAGACCACGTGCAGCAGAGACAAACCGTCCTAGCCAAGGCCAGCCTTGGCCAGCCAGCTCCCAGCTGACTTAGCAGCTGACCATACACTCTTGAGCAAGCCCAGCTGAGAATGGCTGAGGCTGGCCCAGGTCAACAGACTCATCCAGTCAACCCACAGACTCTATTGCTGACTTCATCCAGAAGCCCTTTCTACATAGAACACATGTTGGGAAACTTTGCTCGAATGTGTAGACATTGTATTCTATTGGCAACATTTCTCACCAATAGGCTTCAGTATTGGAAAGAGCAACCAAATCCAAATTACACTTTGCAAAGTAATAACTTATATTCATAAAATTTTCTAATTTATAAATGTTTTCAATGCATTACATATGTATATATCATACACACACACGTACAAATGTTCCAAATTTCCCATTTTAGGAAAAATAAATTAATGTACTTCTCTGTCAATATTTTCTGATCATAGACTTCCATCTCATTAGCTGATCTAATTGGGGTAGCAACCATGATAGCCATATTGCAAAACTGCAGGAATATCCTCCATTCTACTTGACCTCTAACATAACATTTAGCTGATCCATTCATTATGCCATATTTATATCTGAGCCCAGTTTACAGTTCTCTATACCTGCTCCCTTGTGGGCAGAACAAATTAAAGAACAAATTAAACAAGTATTCTTACTTTTGCTTTTCAGTTTGGAATTCCTCCTCCTGAGCTTTGCACAAGTTCTCTTTAAGGTTGATGACTTGGTCACAGGATAAAGGCGGAGAAATATAAGTTCCATTGACTTGCAGATCATCAAAGCATGGCTTCCTGAAGGCGTAGGAGGCATCACAGCAGTGGCCCACACCAGCATTGATAGGCTCTGCCTCATGTCTTCTGCATAAACCTCCAAGAATTAGTTTTGCCTTTCCCAGAAGAGAATTAAAATAAGAGCCATAAGGTTTAGGTCATTTTTTTGTGTTTTGTTTTGTTTTGTTTTGTTTTACTCCATAGAAAATAAGACTCATAAAGATTCTCAAATTCTGGTTTCTTCTAGTTGGGCCTGGATTTCATTGTTTGGGAAAAAGCAGGAGTGTCAGATGCAGCCTGGTTCCCAGATTTGTCCTCCCTCTTCCCCTCATCTTCAAGTTGAGTTCACTTGGACTCCACCTCCAGGTTCCTTCCCAGTCCAATTTGTAGACCAGTGTTGACTTAAGATAGGAGTTTCTTATGCTCTTTTAAATTAAAATCAAGCCTCAAGTCAACACCACTGCTAATTTGACTCAGAAGTATAATTGATAAGTGGAGTTCTTACTTAAGAAGCTCAAATCCAATTTGTTTCTATTTTCTAAAACTGGACATCTGTAAACACCACAGAACTTGGCGTATGGTAAATGCTCTATGAATATTTATTGAATGAATGAATGAATGATGAAAGAAATCTTTGGATCCTAGTTCAGTTATCACCTTCATTTCTTTGTCCTCTTCTAGAAATGTCACCTTGCTTTGCTCCTTGTGTGTCTGATTCTTATCCTGATGTTGTCTACAAGCCCGCCTGTATGCCTTTCCAAGTATGACTCCCCAAATTCCCAATCATTTACGTATTTGGGAATGAAGTAATTGAAGCCAGTAAGCATCAACATTTCATGTATGAGTTTATCCATTTCAAATGTAACCAAAGAGATCACCTAAAAATAAGGCTTTAGAAACATGTAAGTCTAATTGAAAGAGTTCTCCAAGGAAGGCATGACTAGATAACAAAAATTTATAATAAAATAAAAGTTAGACAGTGCTAGATAATAAAATTTTTTATATCTTCAATCAAAAAAATTATGTTTTATCACAAGAAAGACCAATTTAGCATAAAGGAGATGTTTTATCAAGAACATTTAGGGCAGAGAAAACTGTCACCAAATAAGAATTCAGTAGTGTTAAAATAATACCACTTGAGAGAGACCTGGAGACTACATCTTGGAGACATGAGCATACAGGTCCCTGGAGGGATGTTCTCCATTGTGAGGGAGACATAATTTCTCATTTCTCAGGATAGCCTGGAAGAATATCCCTTAAGACCATCCCTTCCCTTCTTCTGATTCCATTTGCACAACTACCCATATTCTCATTCAACTTCCTAAGTATTTTGATTCAGGAAAAAGTGTACTCTAGTTATTAGGCCCAATTATTGATGCCGTTGGAAAGACATTTCTCATTGTAAATGAACACAGTGGTGGTATTCTGTCTAATAAATTTAACACTTGTGAGTTTGATGTGAGATAATAGACAATATAAATATTTGATCTTTGACCCCAGTTCCTGACAAAGGTCTTCTGAAGCCCTTGTAAATTCCTAAGTGATAAGGGAATTAAGAGCATCTTTTGTTCTAATGAGGTGACTCTGGGTGGGCTCCTGGATGGGGGCTGGGTCCCAGAAAGACCAAGCCATGATTAGAAGCTTGGAATTTTCAACCCCACCCCACCCCGCATTCTCCAGAGAGGGGAGATGGGCTGGAAATGAATTAATAATTGATCATGTGTACATAAGGAAGCTTTTTAAAATCCCAACAGTTTGGGCGTTGGAAAGCTCCCAAGTGTGTGAACCCATCCATATATTAAGAAGGTGACACATCCCAATTCCACAGGAATAGAAGCTTCTGCAGTCAGGATGCTCCCAGACCTCACCCTAAGTATCTCTTCATTTGGAAGTTCTCATTTTCCTTTATCAAATATTTTACCTATCTGGTGAACTTAAGTAAGTATTCCTCTTAGTTCTATGAGCTGCTCTAACAAATTAATCAAACCTGAGAAGGAGATCCTGGGAACCTTAGATTTATAGCTGGTTAGTCAAAATCACAGGGGACAACCTGAACTTGCAAATGTTATCTGAAGTGGGATGGGAGCAGTCTTGTAGGACTGAGCCCTTAACCTGTGGAATCTGACGTCATCTCCAGATAGAGTTGTCAGAATGAGTTAAATTGTAGGACACCCAGCTGGTGTCACAGAAAATTGCTTCTTGTGTGGAAAAACATCTGGTGTCAGAGGTGTGGTGACTGTTTTTTGGTTTTGTTTTGTTTTTTCCTATACATTTGATTAGGATGACTTAGTCTAAAATCAGCATTTTCTTTGAAGTTGTTGACAAAGTCAATTTTGTTGGCTTGAAAATCCAAGAGTTAGACCGTGGAGTATGATCCAGGTAAAGACTTGTTGAATCTGACATCACCACCATTAGAGAAGTAACAGTCTTACCTCTGCTGCTAATCGAGACAATTGGCATGAGCTGGCCTAAAAGAAGGTCTCCTGGGGATAGAAATATTAAGCTCCATTGACAATTCATGATGTGTCCACAAACATGAGATTGATTGCTGGAGGCTAGAGATTAGGACTTCAAGAACAGGCAAACAGGAAGTCAAGACGGACTTACCGAGTCCTCCATGCAGGCAAATTGTTGCTCATCTCTCAGTGGGCAACATTTGGTGGCAGCAGCTGCCATGTTCTTTGTGAACGTAACCAACTCTTGAGCAGATAGTTGTGGGATTTTCTTAGTATAAAGGATTATGAGCCTGAAAGAATAATTTCCTCTTACTCCTGGCAATGACCATGTGCCTAAAATGAAGAATTCTAGAGTTTCCTCAGTATTTGACAATCTCTAGCTTAGGTTGAACGAAACACTAAACAAGGTTTAATTCTTTTTAGTCCTTATTCCAATGACCCAAGAACTTATTCAATATACCTAGAATTCTCTTCACACCTCACACATTACTCCACCCTGATCCTTTGCTGGGGGGGTACTTATCAAGGATACTGTGAGAGCTAATTTGGATGGCTGCAAAATCAGACTTAATAAACAGCTTCTGAAATAAATGTATACACAGGCTCTTACAGCCTGTGTTGGTGTCTACAGTGTGTAGGAATAAGGGGACAGCAACAATCAGCAAACAGGCCCTAATTTCACAGGGCTCACATCCTAATGGGTGAGATAGCAGGAACACTCAATGTAGTGACAGGAATTTAGAGTGCTGTAGCTGCACAGAGAATGGCATCTAATCCCATCTCAGGAAGGTCAGGCATGCCTCCTGGAGGAAATGGCAGGTGGGCTGAGACCTAACAATAACAAAAAATGAACCTGGTGAAGGGGAGTGAAAGTGGGAGGGGAGACATTGAATGTGATTGTGGTTTTGTTTTGTGGAGTTTGGGGGTGGTAATTGGGGATTGGAGACAGAAAGAGGAAGAAAGCTTAGTTACAGAATCAGATTTGCTTCGTTTTTAGAATAATTACAGTTGCCATATAAAGAATGAATGAAGGTGGGCAAGAAGCAACATGAGGGAAGTAGTAGTTGAAGGCCATTCCAGAAATCCAGGTGAGAGACAATGATAGACTCAACTAGGATAGTGGTGGTGGGAATAGAGGGATATGAGGAAGATTTTAAGGAGAAAGACTCTACTGACCTGGATTTGAAGACAACAAAAAATCAGAATCAATCATTGCTTTTATATTATAATGGAGCTGGGGAAAGAATTTAGCTGTAACATCCAATGAGCAGGCAACCTAATCTGGTGGTTCTAGTGTGTGACTCATGGACCAGCAGTTATCAGCAGCCCTGGGGACTTGTTAGGAATGCAAATTCTCAGGCCTCATCTCAGACTTACAGAATGAGAAACTCTGGGGATGGGGCTGCGTTTTAACGAGTCCTCCAGGTAATTTTGATACACTCTAAATTTTGAGAACCACAGATCTAATCCTTAAACTAGACATTAGCAAATGAACACAATATAGAAGTAATAAGCCAAATATTCTTTCTGAAAGAATAGTTTTTTTCTGGATCCATTATTCTGGATATTAATTTTATTTATGTATGTATATATGTATTTATTTATTTATTTATTCCTTTAAGATATCACTTTAATTCCTGCACAATTTTTGTATTAGTTTGGATAGACTAGGTTTTGCAATAACAAAAAATGCAACTTTGTTGCATGGTTTCAAGCCACAAAGGTTTTTTTCTTGGGGCGCATGGGTGGCTCAGTCGTTAAGCGTCTGCCTTTGGCTCTGGTCATGATCCCAGGGTGCTGGGATTGAGCCCCGCATCGGGCTCTCTGCTCAGCAGGGAGCCTGCTTCTCCCTCTCCCACTCTCCCTGCTTGTGTTCCCTCTCTTGCTGTGTCTCTGTCAAATAAGTAAATAAAATCTTAAAAAAAAAAAGAAACAAAGGTTTATTTCTTATTCAAGCCATATGTCCAGTGCAATTTGGCATGGTGGTTTTGCTTATCTGGAACCAAGGCAGATAGATCAGCTACCATCTCAAATGTATCTGGATATTGTGTCAGAAGGAAAGGAGAAAATAGAAAAATATGCACTGGTTGTTAAAGCTTCTGCCCCCAAAGTTTTCACATTTCATTAGCCAAATCAAGTCACGTGGTGTGATATATATGTTTTTTAAATGGACACAATATTTTGCAGATCCTCCAATCAAGAGGTTGAGTCTATTTCTCTACCCCTTGACTCAGCTTGGCCATATGACTTACTTTGGCTAATGGGACAGTAGCAAATGTGATGTAAGTAGAGTCTTAAAACGACATCAATTTCAAGCTGAATTTATGGGACACTATATCAAACTGATTTGTTCCTCAACACTCTACTAAATAGACTATTACAGTAAGACCCTAAAGATTACTAAAAATTGGCTTTTGGTTTTTGACATAGTGATCTTTGAAATATCGTCTCTCTGCACACAAGAGGCTTATGTATTCTCTCTGGCAAATAGCTAAGGTATCTATTCATCTCTACCCTCCATGGTGAAAGTACTAAATTTACTATATGACCAGGCTTGAAACTGACAAAAGGATCCTACCACTGCAGGCAAAGCCCTAACTAAATGTCTAGGTGGGAGGGAGAAGACCCCAAAGAGACAGCAGGAAAGCAGCCAGGGCCTGCTTGGTTCCCTAACTTCTGGATATTGGCCGGAATCTGGAAACTGGCTTGGAAAGCCATGTAGAAACACCTAAGGCTATGTGGACATCTGTATTATCAAGACAAAGATAGCTAGGTTAATTTTGAACTCATTTTTTCCTTGGCCTCTGAGATTTCAAGGTTGGTTGTAGAATCTTAGCAGCTCTCAGCATCAGGAGTTAACACAAACTCACTAACAAGCACAAATCTGGACAATATCTTGGAAGCCTACCAGTCATGGAAGTTAGCATCTCCTAATTTCTCGTGTAAATCACAGTGATGTTTTACACGCTCACGGCTTTCACGAACCACTCTTTGGAACATCTCTTGCTGGAAAATAAAGATAATCAGTGTTATCACTGTAACAATATATCTTGAGGTAAGATTGCAAAACCCTGATAGTTTAATGTAACTGTTTTCCTAAACCCAGGGCTTTATTTACTTAGTGAGCTTGCAAATCTTGAAAAACACGTTCTGGTAAAACAGGAATGGCCATGTACTTTGTGGAGAAAAGAAGTGGTACAACAAGATTGATATTTAGTTTCTGATGATATAAATTCATTTGTGGGTTGATATGGTGTATTATACAAGCATAAGGCAAATCATTCATCGAGCCAAAGAGATCTTTAAAGGTAGTTTACAGATCTAAGTTTGATTGGTCAGAGAGTGTTGGTTATATTTCATAATACAGCCTTTTTACATAAACAGCACAGATACAGAGATACAGATATAGGCATAGAAATACAGATACGTGTTAAGAAGTCACAGTTTAATAAAAACATGCAGCAGCCTTTAATATGGTAAAGCACTCCACAAATACACAGTGAAGTGAATCAAATGGAAATCTCGGAACTAACTGCTAGTTCAAAGAGTTCTTCAACTGTGCACATAAAATTCCAGTGGGAAAATACAAGTGACCTTTCAGGCTTAGTTCTTCAGTAGGAGGACAGGTTATCATCCTAACTAATCTGACCCAGTGTACCTGATCTTACTGAGCAGTGTTTGTTACAGTGAAAATTTTACCAGATTTGCAAACTGTTTGCCTGGATTTAACCCTTAGCCTTGTCCTTACTGCCTGTGTGAAGTTGGGCAAGTCTTTTAAACCTTCTACAACTCAATACTTTCATCTACAAAATGCAGTTAATAATTCTGGCATTACCTATGTTCCTGGGCTGGTGTGAGGATCAAATAGGACACTGGTTGTAAAGTTGCTTTGTGAACTCTAAACATCCATGCTCCTGTAAGGTGCTATTGTCATAATGATTATTGTGGAGGTCTACTGGGGATGCTGCAAAAGGGTGCTCACCCACAGGGGAATAAATTACCTTCATTGATCCTTCTCTCTGGGAACAGAAATGTGATAGATATACCTGCTTGAGCCCAGACAGGACAAGAGATGCCTTCAATACTCAACCACTATCCCACCCTCTGTAAATATGTAAGCCATTGCTTAGAATAACATAAGCCAGAACCAACCTGGTTCCTGGTAATCCACGGATACGTGATCATCTAGTCACATATGTAAGGTCACCTGCTTTTTTCATGTCAGATGCACAAACAGAGCTGTTGCCTGTGAACAGTATGATTTCTGGCCTGAAACAGGGAGAGTTTCCAGGACTACTTAGTGGAAATAGTCCATCTTCTCATACCCTAATATGCTGTGCTTTCATGCCATCTGCTACGGGTCCCAGCAGACACTCATTAAAAGGGAAGATGGCACAGAGAACGTTTCATGAAGCACAGAATCTCTAAGACAGTGACTCACCTAGGGACCTGCTATAGTATGATGATGGGGCCTTTGGTTTAGATGAAAGTCATATTTGTTGTGCAGTGTTGGCAATTAGCAAGAAGGCGCACAATCCTTTTACAAAATATGGCGCTACCAACAGCCCAGGAATTTTTCCTATGTCGGTAATCACCTATGAGTAACAAGCTAAAAAAGAAAAACGCATGTACCCCATGGCTATAGCATTCCAGAGGATTTTCTAATTTGCAGCATTTTACCAATAAATTTTGATATACCGTATCCACTCTTAAAATCACAGGAAGTGCCAATTCTGAATGTCTTCTTGAATATTCATAAAGAAACCTGTATCCATATGAAACAGTAAAATTCAGAAGCCATGAGTTTTCCTTCAAAACCTAATTATGATTATGAAAAATATTCAATATTTTCACTGATTTTAGGCATTTGGAAACTTTGGGAGGATGGCAGGGAGGTTTACTTGACTACATTTTGAGATAAAGAAACAGAATCAATAAAATTACGTGATTTTTCCAAAGTCACACAGGAGTGGTGTCAGATTCAGAACTTGAAACCAAAACAATCTGATAAGCTGATAGTTTCTGGCTCAGGGTCACTACTTACTTTTATGAGAAATTAATTTCCAGTATTTGGATGGGAGAACACTTTCCTCAATCATCTTTGAGGCTAGATTTTATAAGTATTAGAATTTTTTTTTTTGATAGAAAGTGCTAGCTAGGTATTAAATCATCATCTTCCCCTCTTTTCCAGCTAAGTTTTCAAGCTGGAGTGGTCCAAGCATAATCTATACATTCTTCTGGGTTACAAGAAAGAGAAATCTGGACCCTAGAATGTTTACGAAGGAATCACAAGCACCTTTGAAGTGATCTTATCCAACCCCTCAGTTAGTAGCTGGAACGCAAGAGCCTAAGGAAATTAAGTGGCTTGACCTACATTCCAAAGTTTATGCATGACAAAGCTAGTCTTTGGAAATCTGGTCTCCCAACTCATAGCTTAATGTGATTTCCAATAGGAAGTTGTGCCTATCGACTTTTCCAGTACCAAATGCAAGTTTAGGAATGAGTGGGTTCCGGCAGTGACATTTACTTTTATAAGCCATATCAAATGTAATTTCAGAAATATAGCTCAAGTCATTCTACAAAGAGCTTTGAAGAAAACTCAAATTCTTATGCATTGTTGGAGTTTAATTGCTCCAAATAATGCTTCACAAAGTGGCTTTGGAAATACTTCAATCACACAGCAATATTGTTTTAATATTACATATTGAAATCAGTTTGTCTTGCACAAATTAATATGCATTTCGGAATGGACACCTGAGATGTTAATATTCCATCTCTCTAATCTTTAAATGCCACACCATGGCTTTGGGAGTAGGTATTAAATTAATTAAAATAGAAGAGCTCACCAGGTATACCAACCTGAAGCCATTCCTTAGGGATGAATACCTTAGAGCAAAGTTTGCAAATACTTGACCCTCACTGTGTTTTTAAAAATTCTGTATTAGTTGTCAACACTTAAAAATCAAGCAGCTTCCAGCTTCTTTCAAAATGCAGGGTTGCTGGAGGGGAAGGGGGTGGGAGGATGCAGTAACTGGGTGATGGACATTAAGGAGGGCATGTGATGTGATGAACACGGGGTGTTATATAAGACTGATGAATCATTGACCTCTACCTCTGAAACTAGTAATATGCTATATGTTAATTAATTGAATTTAAATAAAAATAAAATAAAATAAAATAGAAGACCCAACTACCCCAAGCCTACATTCCCATATGCTAACAAGTGGCTGGAGCTGTATAAGTAGCTGCCACTTTTGACTCCACCAAGCATCTCCTCTTGAACAACTGAGTCACTCATTTACATCATGGGTTAGCCTCTGTCATCATTCAAGTCTACAACCCTTCCCAAAAAGTCCATAAATACAGTACTCCATTACGAAGATTTTACAAAAACCTGTATTACTCTTGCAGGAAATCATCTGGCTTGTTGGAGAACTGTGCGCATACAAATCGGTCTTCTGTAAATCTGCTGAGTGGCAAAGATGGAAGATCAGGTTCATCGTCATTTTCCGAGTTGATAACGCATTCCCCTTGGAATGGCACCGCACACAGCATGGGCTGATTTTGCTGGAGAGGACCGACTGCTTGGAACAAATATAGTTCATAAGCCGGCTCTATAAAACATCAAAAGGAGCAGTTGTTTTTGATGACTTCATTCTGAACTTATTTATTTTTATTGTTATTACTAGAAAACCAGAGAAGAACTTGGCATCTTCTATTGCTTTATCCTTGGCAAACTGAGAGACCCAAAAGGTCATGTATAGTGACTCGTTCTAATAAGGAAGCCTTCTCTATTTGACCTCACTCAAGTGTCACAAGCTCTTTTCACATTTCTTTCTTTTTTTTTTTTAAAGATTTTATTTATTTATTTGACAGGGAGAGACACAGCGAGAGAGGGAACACAAGCAGG